CTGTCTGTCTGTCTGTCTGTCTGTCTGTCTGTCTGTCTGTCTGTCCGTCTGTCTGTCTGTCTGTCCATCTGTCCGTCTGTCTGTCTGTCCATCTGTCCGTCTGTCCGTTTGTCCGTCTGTCTGTCTGTCTGTCTCTCTCTCTCTCTCTCTTCTCTCTCTCTCTCTCTCTCTCTCTCTCTCTCTCTCTCTCTCTCTCTCTCTCTCTCTCTCTCTCTCTCTCTCTCTCTCTTCTCAATCTCCTTTCGCTCTCGGAACATGTTACGAACAGATGGAAACTGTCGAAAAACGATCTGAAAAACAAAACCAAAATTTCATACTTTACAGGATTTCCTGCATGAGTGTCGCAATAGGAGCCAATTGTTCTTAAGGAGGCAACAGGGGTAGACACCGATCTCCTAAATACACAAATCACTATGCTCAGCTGAGTGAGGCTAACTCCAGTGAGGCGCCGGGCCTCACTGACTTCCCCTCTTCAGAGGGGAAGAGGGGAGGAAAGGGGGCCGAGAAAGGTAGAGAAGAGGAGAAAGGGAAGAGAAGGTGGAGAAAGGGAGGGAAGATCGGGGGAGAGGATATTTCATATTAATACATTTTCTGAGAGAAAGGGGAGAGTTGGACCAATGGGATGGGGACGAGGGAAATATAAGGGTGATAGGGAGAATAGTGAGGAAGAGAACGCGGTCAGCCGAGTACACTTTTCACACAGATATATATATATAAATGGAAAAAAATCCATTTTTGAGGGGAGGAAATTTTCGAGGTTGGAGTGGGGAAAAGATAAGGATATGAGGAGTGAGGGTAGAGAGGAGAAAGGAAAGGAAAGAGGGAAAGAAGGGAGGGGGAAGGTAAGAGAGGGGAAGTTAGGATAGAGGGTAAAGAACAGGGAAGAAGTGAGAGAGAGAGTATCCCGGACACTACCCGAATGCCCTCCTATTATATATCCTGGAGGGCCCAGTAGTACAGCCTGGTTCGTTTTCGATCTACAATCAAGAATTCCGGGTTCGGATCTCCCATTGGGACAGAGAGGGTTGGGCGTGTTTTCTGTCACCTTATACCCCTGTCCACCTAGCAATAAATAGGTACTAAGAGACTAGTCAGCATGTTGTGTGGCTACATGGTGAGGACGGTCAGTAAGTCGACCCTGGGGAAGGGGAGAGGGAGGACCTCGATAGCAGCCTAACATGTACTGTATATATATATACAGTACCTGTATATATATATACAGTGTATACAGGCCTGTATACACTGCCTGTATACACTGCCTGTATACACTGCCTGTATACAGTACCTGTATACACCTGCCTGTATACAGTACCTGTATACGGTACATGTATACACTGCCTGTATACACTGCCTGTATACAGTACCTGTATACACTGCTTGTATACAGTACCTGTATACACTGCCTGTATACACTGCCTGTATATAGTACCTGTATACAGTACCTGTATACACTGCCTGTATACAGTACCTGTATACAGTACCTGTATACACTGCCTGTATACACTGCCTGTATACAGTACCTGTAAACACTGCTTGTATACAGTACCTGTATACAGTACCTGTATACACTGCCTGTATACAGTACCTGTATACACTGCCTGTATACAGTACCTGTATACACTGTATACACTGCCTGTATACAGTACCTGAATACACTGTCTGTATACACTGCCTGTATACAGTACCTGTATACACTGTCTGTATACACTGCCTGTATACAGTACCTGTATACACTGTCTGTATACACTGCCTGTATACACTGCCTGTATACAGTACCTGCATACACCTGCCTGTATACAGTACCTGTATACACCTGCCTGTATTTAGTACCTGTATACACTGCCTGTATACGGTACCTGTATACACTGCCTGTATACTGTACCTGTATACACTGCCTGTATACAGTACCTGTATACACTGCCTGTATACAGTACCTGTATACACTGCCTGTATACAGTACCTGTATACAGTACCTGTATATACTGCCTATATACAGTACCTGTATACAGTACCTGTATACCCTGCCTGTATACAGTACCTGTATACACTGCCTGTATACAGTACCTGTATACAGTACCTGTATACACTGCCTGTATACAGTACCTGTATACAGTACCTGTATACACTGCCTGTATACACTGCCTGTATACAGTACCTGTATACAGTACCTGTATACACTGCCTGTCCCCCGACATAATGAATTATAATTATATGAAAGGAAATGCCTCTCAGTTCGTGTTGGAAGGCGGGCAGGGAAGAGAGGGAGTAGGAGGAATGGCAGGAAGGGTGTGGGGATGGTGTGATGGGGGAGGGTGTAGGGGAGACGGGGGAGTGGGGGGTAAGATGGGGGAGGGTGTAGGGAGACGGGGGAGTGGGTAAGATGGGGGAGGGTGTAGGGGAGACGGGGGAGTGGGTAAGATGGGGGAGGGTGTAGGGGAGACGGGGGAGTGGGTATGATGGGGGAGGGTGTAGGGGAGACGGGGGAGTGGGGGGTAAGATGGGGGAGGGTGTAGGGGAGACGGGGGAGTGGGTAAGATGGGGGAGGGTGTAGGGGAGACGGGAGAATGGGGAGAGGGGGAGAGACAGACTATCGCAGGCACTGCTTGCTACTCCTGCTGGTATACATATAACAGACTGATGTAAATAATTTGAAAATGATTATGTGTGTACTTGACAAGAAGTGTCATCTATTGGCAGAATTTTGCCTAAAGCCCACAAACTGATGACGTCACAGGTTAGGTAGCCAAGCCATTTTTTTATGAGAAAAATTATCCTGCAATATTTCATTTAACTTAATTAACCATTTCAAATGGTTGAAAACTTAACTTTTTTGGAAGATTAGAATTGAAACAGGATGTAATAAACGGCGCAAGTGTTCTTAAAGTTGAAAATATTATTAAGAGAGTTGAGCATTTTACCAATCCTTTCCTGTGATTGGCTGTCGTGGAGAATGTCAACAACGAGTTTCTACCAATGAAATACAAGCACGGGAATTCTTCCTTCAGCACAACAACCCGCCTTATGGGCTGCTGTTGGCCTGTTGATAGTGCAATGTTATGCCAACAGATGGCACCAGCTGTATCTTATAGGGTGGCTAGTTGTTAGTGTAATTTTATGGCGATGGATGACATAAGATGTATCTTACGGCTGCTATCGACTTGGCCTGTTGATAGTGTTGTTTTCTGCCAATAGATGGCATCAGCTGTATTAATTGCCTTCGAATTTCCCTTAAACACTAATGTAAAAGTCCCGTATCTAATGATAGAGGTTACATATATCCAGCTATTATTAGGTACCTGGAGTTTTGCAGTCTTCTGCTGAGATACAATAATGCATCCAAAGCTGCTGATCAAATGCTTCTGCATTATTATCGAACATAATAACATTTCAACCCAATCACTTAGGCTGGACGGTAGGGCGACGGTCTCGCTTCATGCAGGTCGACGTTCAATCCCCGACCGTGCAAGTGGTTGGGCACTATTCCTTCCCCCCGACCCATCCCAAATCCTTATCCTGATCCCTTCCAAGTGCGATATAGTCGTAAGGGCTTGGCGCTTTTCTCTGATAGCTCCTCTCCTATTCCTCTTCACTTAGACAATCGGAACCTCGAACCGCCGACCACATAAACTGGTACTTGCCGCTCTACCTACTGGGAAACAGTATTACTACTGTTTCCCAACCCGTCCTTTAAGGTTAAAGGTTAAATTTGCAGATTTTCAACCCGTCCTCCAAACAAAGACCCAAACGTGATTCCATGCACCCGCCTAACCCCATGTTGATGAATGAAAAAATGGTTTACACATCACTCACACTCATGACGTTCGAATTATATATATATATATATATATATATATATATATATATATATATATATATATATATATATATATATATATATATATATATATATATATATATATATAGTAGTCTTGTACCTTGCATGTAACCAATGTTGTAACCCTTTTGTGTTATGAAATTTTAAAATAAAGTTAGATATACAGTACACACACACACACACACTAAAAGAATAGGAGTAGTAGAAGAAAAAAAGTGTTCAGTGAGGATCCACAAGGTCTTCTCTGAGTACTCATTATTTTCTTCTCCGAGGCTATGGGTCCCTACACTTGCACCAGAGGTGGTACCCCTTTTATATTATATTATATTATATATATTATATATATATATATATATATATTATATATATATATATATATATATATATATATATCGTATATATATATATATATAGAACGCCTAGTAGCTTAGCCTACTATGCAAGGCTCGATTTGCCTAATAAGCCAAGTTTTCATGAATTAATTGTTTTTCGACTACCTAACCTACCTAACCTAACCTAACTTTTTCGGCTACCTAACCTAACCTAACCTATAAAGATAGGATAGGTTAGATTAAGTAGGGTTGGTTAGGTTTGGTCATATATCTACGTTAATTTTAACTCCAGTAAAAAAAATTGACCTCATACATAATGAAATGGGTAGCTTTATCATTTCATAAGAAAAAAATTAGAGAAAATATATTAATTCAGGAAAACTTGGCTTATTAGGCAAATCGGGCCTTGCATAGCAGGCCGAGTACAACGTTCTGGCTACTAGGTACAACATATATATATTAAAACAAAATTAAATCATTTGCGATAAATGAGTTTGTTTCACTAGTTTACGACTCTATTCCTGGACCAAAGTTTACTTGTAGCCTTTTTAAATCTAAATTATTCATATTATCACCCGTTGTTTCGAGTTCTCGCTTGATTTAATTGTTTTGCAAGTTGTTTATATACTCTTTGTTTGTGTTTTTTTTTCATTCTGTCCATCAGCATCGTCGCCTTCGTTTACAAATTAAAGATCAGTAGAGTCAGTGTTCTTAATGTACCTTCGTAAGCAAGATACCTGATGCTGATGGTTAAATATGGCGTTTAACGTTGAATATTTTTCTTCACCACTCACAACCAGTAATAAATGTTGGATGATATGTTAAACATTATAATTTATCTTGCAAATTTATTATGATTTGCATAATAAATACATATTGGTACATAAATACATATATTTGTACAGCATAAGTTTTGAATCTTCTTTAATTTAAAAGAAAAGAAGGTTTTATGCTATTTTCCCTGAACAGAAATAAAAACATTACTGAGGAGCACCGTAGCTGGCAGAGGGACCAGAGCGTGCAGCAGCAGCGTCTTCTGCAGCAGCCTTGGCGATCTGGTCCAGCACGAACTGGGGGATTGGGTGGGGGAACTCAGGAGCCACTGGCAGCAGGTCAGACTCGGGCTGGTAGCCGTTCTCGTCGGCGACGAATTTCACATGAACGGGTGTGCCGTCAGGAGCAGTGTAGCTGTAATATAGAATACTCTTGAGAACTGTGGAATACATCTCTGTGTTCTGTTAGATTAATATGATATTTGAGAATAGCTCACACCTTCATTATCTTGTAATTGCACTCACGAATAGCTTCCGGACTTGACTACAGCGCCTTCGGGACCGTCGGGAGAGCCAGACTGGGACAACTTGATGCCATTGCCAGTCTCGACATCGAAGTTGTACCTGCCATCCTCTTCGTGGATACGGTCGTCCCTCAGGATGGGGATTTCCTCGCTAGACTCACTGTAGCGTGAAGGAGCGGCTGGGGCGGCGTAACCCCCCTGGGGGGCAGCGGTGGCCACGGCGGCAAGAGCGGCGAGAATCACCTGCACAACAAACACACCGAAATTAGTTAAAGGAAATAATTAAAATGAATTTCTGTATATAACACTAATCCTTACTACATTTAGCTTCGTTGCATTGCTCATTTATTTTTTAAACGAAATGTATATGCATGATAAATCATGCATATGCATTTTTTCTTATACTTATTGTAACTATTTTAGCGGTACTTTATACAGGACACATATATTAGGAGTGTGTAATGCAATGTCTAAATAGTTTAAATTATAAAGAAAATGTTAAAATTTATTAACTATAATATATATGATTACCATTGATCAAAATTTTCGAAATTTAAAAAATTAATGACATTAATGATATATATATATATATATATATATATATATATATATATATATATATATATATATATATATATATATATATATATATATATATATATATATATAGATATATATGAGAGATTTCAGGTACTCACAAACTTCATGTTGGCTGAGGTGTTCAAACACTGATGTCTGCACTGTCCGAGGCCACGTATATATAGTCCCCAGACGCCTACTCCTACACAGTTGCCAGCTTCGCTCTCTGAGGCAATCTTCGCCCTATATTTCTCACTACCTTTGATTTTCAAGGCCAGTGTCTTAAGCTGAACTTACGATCCTCGACCTCAGACGAGCCCCACCCTCTTTATCCTTTCTATTTCTCTTCGTACGGTCGTTACAGCGACGCTCACACTGTAATATTAAATATCAATATAATATATTGATTTGCTGATATAAATCATAATTGAATTCCATGCAAACAATTATTAATTCTTCATAATCAATTTTATTTGTTAAACGTTCTTGTGTTCGTATTGCTTTAGATATGTTCGATCTGCGACCTATACTGAAGAGAAGATGCAGGGAAACCGGTGCTTCAATAAAAGTTTCTGTCAAAATAACAAAATAATAATGACCTCGACGGAAGTTATCAAAATAAAATTAATTACATTTTACTCTCTCTTTTTTAAGAGTATTTCATTGTTCCTGGAATTTTTGGAATCAGGAAATTAACATAAGGAAAACTTGTGAAGCACCTGATAAAAATTTAATACGAAAGAGATGTGAAAAGAAATCCCATGCAGATTAAAACACTAGTTGACCAGAACACAGGTTGACCAGGACACAAGTACTGGACCAGAACACCAGTGGCTTAGAAACATCATTTAACTAGAATGCACTGATCCATAACATCAGTGAACCAGAACACCATTGGACCAGAGCACCAATGTATGGGAACAGCACTAGGGAAAAGAACACAAATGGATCAAAACACTACTTGACCAGAACACCAATGGACCACAAGACCAGTGGCCCACAACATCAGTGGACCAGAACGTCAGTGGCCGACCACACCAGTGCCCCAAAATACCACTGGTCTACCACACCAGTGCCCCACAACACCACTGGCCTACCACACCAGTGGCCTACCACACCAGTGGACCACAACAGCAGTGGACCACAACACCAGTGGACCACAACACCAGTGGCCTACCACACCAGTGGACCACAACACCAGTGGCCTACCACACCAGTGGACCACAACACCAGTGGCCTACCACACCAGTGGACCACAACACCAGTGGACCACCACACCAGTGGCCTACCACACCAGTGGACCACAACACCAGTGGCCTACCACACCAGTGGACCACAACACCAGTGGCCTACCACACCAGTGGACCACAACACCAGTGGCCTACAACACCAGTGGACCACAACACCAGTGGCCTACCACACCAGTGGACCACCACACCAGTGGCCTACCACACCAGTGGACCACAACACCAGTGGCCTACCACACCAGTGGACCACCACACCAGTGGCCTACCACACTAATGATAGGAAAAAATAAGTTACAAATGGAGACGAAGCGACTCAATATTACCATTTATAATTACTCAATAATTATATTATATTACTTTCATAAGTAGATGAAATGTCGCCAGAGTGTGTAATATGCGATAAAAGTAATAGATAAGTTTGTGAAAAAGAGAAGAATATATAAGGTTTTGGTTGCTCGGTAAATATATTTCTTGTTGCGAGCCAATAGGGCCACTTGTTCTATAAAACAATTGTTGTCTTGACGTTGCATACTGTCAAATAATAATTATATGTATATGTATTTTATTTTTCAAAAATATATTCTGTCGTTTATATTAGGTTTGGGTACAGCGTCCGGGTCTTTCCCCTCCGCCCTCTCTCTTCCCCAATCGCCACTCTCTCTTAATTTACCCTCTCTCTTTCATCTCTCTCTCTTCTCCAGTCTCCCCTCTCTTCCATTTTTCTGTTCTCCTCCCTCTCCAGTTTCTCACCCATCATTACCCTTCTCCCCCTCCACCCTTCTCCTCCCTTCTCCCCTTTCCACCCTTCTACTCATCTCCCCCTTTCTCCCTCCTCCACCCTTCTCCTTTCCCCAACTTCCCGCCTCTCTCCCCCTCTCTCACTTTTCCTCCCTTCTCTTTCCCTGCCCAACCCTCTCCGCCTTTGTCTGACGGTTCGTCTAGCTTGTCACGTGATTGTCCTAACCACTATACACCTCACACTAACCGTCTCTACTCTTGTTAAGTGCATTAATTGTCGTTACCAGGAGGAAGTTATCAAACAGAAAGATATATGTTAAACAAAGTCCCAAAGACCAGACGACGTCTTTAACAGGGTCGTAAGCACGACATTATGAGAGCCTTTGTTTTGTATATATAATGATTCCCTACAGTCGAACAATGTACCTGAATCGTCGAGAGTTGCAAATGTTGTGTCAATCTTTAAGAAGGAAAATATATCACGTGAGTCAAACTATCCGCCAATATCTTATTTATTTATTTATTTATTTTTTTACATGCAAGAGTTTTTGCGTTCTTGCAAATCCACTAGCAAGCATAGCGTTTCGGGGAGGTCTTTAATCTTAATTTTCCCTGAAATATGATCAGCCAAATTGTTTAACAACCAATTAGCTTAATGTCTATTGTGGGAAAATTCCTTGAATTGATTATCGCAAAAACCATTCGTCTGCAGTTTGAAAAATATTGATTAATATGGGATTCACAACACGGTTTTACAAATGGCCGCTCTTTTTTGTAGGATGTTGTTGTTGTTCCAGATTTTGCTACTCAGTACGAAGTGTTCATGTAGCACGAGCTATGGTGAGCCCGTATTTTTTTTTTTTTTAGGAATTTGCTTTCATTCTATTTCAGCATATTTTTGGCAGCTAATAGTGGAAAGGATTTTTGATGTTGTGTGCCTTGACTTCAGCAAATCATTTGATACAATGCCTCGCGAAAGACTAATCAGTAAAATTAGTATCCTCATTTGGATAAGGGTATTATTATTTCAATGGAAAACAATCAGTATAATGAAGTTAAGTCATAGTGGGGAAACCCTCGTTGAACAGAAAACACGAAACAATATATATAAATTGTTTAAGTGTGGATTCAGGTTTGGAATGTGGGTGGTTGATATAATATAGAAAAAATCTGGTAACAGAATACATGTGGGGGTAACTTGAGTATTACACGTGTAGTTTAGAAATACATATGAATGAGATTGAATGGATATAATTATGAGCGGATTTGTATGGTGTTAATAGGCCTTCTGCAGTTTCCTTAATTCGTATGTTCTTACGATCTCTTCTCTTTCTTTGTATTTTTATTCCTGTCTAAAAATAAAAGAAAATAAATGCTCTCTCTTGTAAACTTTCATGAAAGCCTGGGTGTTTCCTGAACTGATTCCAAGCTTTCTCTTTCTTTTTCGTAACTTTACAGTGCCTTTTGTCAACCACTTTTTATTGTACAAAGTTCTTCTGTCGTATATATTAAAGATAATTAATTCCATATATCATTACTTTGTAACTCTTAATTCTACATTAGTTCAGCATAACTCTCTGATAGTTAAATATATTTTAAGTATTATTTTGTCTTCATCTGTCACAGTTGATAATTATATACATCATCTCAATTAGAAGATGATTGTATTTTTCGAGGGAATTTATATAATTCATACTGATTATTTGTTCTCTTTTGTCAAAATTAGATACAGAAGAGATGATACATTTATGTTCATATTTTTTGTTAATTCCATTACATTTTGACTCAGAAATATTCTAACGAAAAAAATGTAATTTATTGTAATTTGATTTGGATTCAGTCTTATAAGCCCTCCAGTGTTTTTCTTTACAGATGAAATTTCTCACAATTATTATTTTTCTGTGTCTTTTGTAGGTTTTTCTTATGACTTTTTTTTCTTGAGTAGTCCTATATTTGCATATAAAATTGATCTATTTTACAAGCAGATAAATTCCGTTGTTAAATTCTGTTACAAGAATGTTAAATTCCTTTATAGTCTCTTTTTTATTATCCCTATGTACTCCCCTTTGGCCTTAAGTGTTACTAACGGTGGATTGACAGACGCCGATATGAACAGCAAGAATTCATATACAGTATTAAGTTTAGTTATGAATATCACTGAGGGTTTTTTCTCGATAATTATACATTCTATCTTTGCGGTCAATTTTGTCGCTTCTTCAAACTAAACCAATTATTGAAATACCGCTTTATTTACCACATACCCATCAAATTTTGTTTACACTACACCTGCGATACCCGCAATCCTTGTTCAACATATAATGTCGGGTTCGTCTGGGTTTAGCCCACCTAGAGCAGGACAAACACACTTATGGGGTGGTTTGTGTGTGTGTCGACCCGTGTGTAGGACGCCGGTAGACGCATGCTTGAATTGTCGCCTTCACTTCATGTGATTTATTGTAAGCCATTGTAGACAGTGCATAGATTTTCCTTTTGTGTTGTTCGCTCCGATCAAAATACGTACATTGCAAAATTGGATTCTCATCATTAGATTTTCTATGATGCTTTTCTCTAAATTGGCTGCTTTATGTCTTAAATTTTCTGAGTTATTTACTATTTATATCTGCAGAATCGAGCTATTAGCTCTTGAACTCCGCCTTTCTAACCAATTTATTTTTCCTCTATTATATCTACTACATACATTACTCTCTAACATACACACACACACACACCCCAGGAAGCAGCCAGTAGCAGCTGTCTAACTCCTACGTACCTATTTACTACTAAGTGAACGAGTGCATTAGTAAGAAAGAAACTTTTTTCAATTCTTCCTCTGCCCATTTTTTCCGCCTCCGCCGGAAATCGAACCCGAGCTCTTAGGATTATGAACCCCGAGCGCTGTCCACTCAGCCGCGAGGCCCTCCCCCCCTGTACTCACCTGTGTGTACTCACCTAATTGTGCTTGCGGGGGTTGAGCTCTGGCTCTTTGGTCCCGCCTCTCAACCGTCAATCAACTGGTGTACAGATTCCTGAGCCTATTGGGCTCTATCATATCTACATTTGAAACTGTGTATGGAGTCAGCCTCCACCACATCACTTCCTAATGCATTCCATTTACTAACTACTCTGACACTGAAAAAGTTCTTTCTAACGTCTCTGTGGCTCATTTGGGTACTCAGC